ACACGGAAGTGGCTCTCGATGCAAATCCTAAGTGCATTTCTATTTGACTCTTTCTATACGTTAGAAATGCTTACGTCAAGCCTGGATCACTGCCTGCGTGTGATCAATCATGTTTGGCACCCTGCACCTTGCAAATTGCTATTAATGAATTGATTTAATTACAACATTCCTACATATTGTCCCAGTGCTTGGTTGGACTGTACTACCTGCTTTTCTCATCTACTGTGGCAGGTTGCACTAATTCTGCCCATCCCACGATATCCTAGCCCAGCTGACCAACTCTGATGCTTTCTGCAGACCTTTTGACGTGCAGATTTCAACTCTTGTTGCCTTTGCCCTGTCTCATTTTCCACCGGGCTCATTAAGGAAAATTAGCCTCTAAAACTAACCAAGCTCTACAACAAGCGGCCTGTGCTGTAAAAACCAAGCCCTGCTCACTGTTGGGTGTCACTGGACATCAATAAGAGCTCTTTTCATGAGCAAATACTACTGAATTGAGTCTTAAGAAGCTTGCTAACGTGATTAAGCCCCAAAGCAAATGCACTCGCTTGAGATACTCACTTAAAGAAAAGCAGCAGGTCTCGTGGGTAGTGGGTGAAGTTGGCCGTCAGGTTGTGCGCAGCCAGTATTTTGGCTAGGCAAGACAGCTGATGGAAAAAATACATGTGGTGTGAGGTCAATATTACCCCGTGTGATATTTCGCTGGATAAATGAGACCATTGCTTGGCCATCAGATCCAGAAAAAAAACTAAATTCCCTTTTCAGAGTCTAGCTGAATAAATATTGGGGATTTTTTTCCTAGGTGATTCATACATCCTGCAGCCCCACAGACACACACATCGCTCAGATTTGGCATTCAACGCTCTGCCTTTTTCCACCTTATTTCTACCCTGGTGTTACTGGGCAGAACCCAGTTTAACTCGGACTGGGTAAAGAGGGTGCTCTGCTGCCCTGTCTTGCCATTGAAGTGTGTGTGGGCCTGCTCAACAAATGCACCCCTCAGGAAAGGAGGTGAAATGCTGATGCTGCCAGGGGGTTCAGTGGGGCCCTGGCTTGTTGGCTGACATGACAAAAATCATAGAAAATTAGGGTTGGAAGGGACCTCAGCAGGTCTCTAGTCCAACCCCCAGGTCATCTAGTCTAACCCCCATCAGAGTCGGCAAAGGGACAGGGTTGGAGGCTGTCCTCGGAGGACCAGCTACGGGGTTTGTTCCAACTGGGGTTGAAAACCCCATCTCTTGGGAATGGGATACTGCCCCGTTGCAACCAGGCGCACTATGAGAGCTGTGTGCCTGCTGCCCATGCTTCAAAAACCCATCAGTAATTCGTCAAGGATTGCATATGCATCAAAGACATTTTTTTCCCCATCAGCAGCCAGAGCTATGACATGTCTCGCCCTACCTGGTGGTGGGTCAGGACCACGTTCTTCTTCGCCATCTGTTCAGCCATCGAGAAGACCCGGGCGGCTGAGAGTTTGCTGGCTGGCCTGCACTGGAAACCATGCAGGACCGAGGCTGAGAGGCTAAATGCAGGGAAGGGGAAGTTATAGGTTAAGGACCGAGTGCATTTGAAACACTTTTGATCCCATGACCAGGCAGAGGAAAGTCTACGCTGCCTCCATCCCCTCGATCCCGGAGGGGGGCTACAAGGCTGGAAGACCCTAAAATGTCACAATCAGGAGGGATTATGCAAGCATACCCCAGGCCAAGAGCTGCCTTCCCTCCTGAAAGCGGGTAGAGCTTCGACCTCTGCATTGGCCTCAAGGGAAGCAAGCAAAGCCTCATCCATAGCGCTTGGTTAATGGAAAGCATTTGCAGGCCTTGTGTTTGGCTTTTCTTTACTTTCTCCTGCAACAACCAATTGCTACCCAGAGGTCACCGGGGCCAAGATTTATCAAGGAATTTCGGTTTGAAATATCCGGCCCCTCTTCTGATCTGAGCGGCCGGTCACACCAGTCCTTAGCAGGGGTTAGAAACAGATCCCCATCAGATGATTTTCTCTCCCCTTCTGAAACAGGAGGTACAAGAGAGGTGGTACTCACTCCGTGTGATTCCCCGTGGCAGACAGCACACGCTCAAAAAACACCGCCGCCTGCGAACGAGAGCCGCGTGCACTCAGGTCCACGGAAAGGGCAAGAATATACAGGAGAGAAGAGACGTAGGAGACCTCCCAGCCCTGTGTCCTACTTCCCAAATGACCCCTGAGGGCTGACTTACATGGAGTATTAAACAGAACAGATCCTTGCCACAGTTGAGTCCAGAACTTGGATTCAAGCCCAACCTCATTGATTTAGCCAGCACCAGCCAAGACCACATGTGCTAGACTCAGATTTGCTCCTAGGAACGCGGTCCAAAAGACACAATATTCACGTTACCTGCTCTGCGGACCACTGCTTCTGCTGGATTTGGTGAAGATCTAGGTGCCCATCTTGCAGCACCAGCAACGAGATGGGGACTTGGTCCACCAGAGCATCAGGCACATCATGTAAAATGTCATTCAGAGAGGAGGACCTGGAGATGATCTACAAGAGTGGGATGAAGGTGCATCACAAGACATGTCACTAGCCTCCCCTGCGGCCTTGCCCAATCAATGCCTTGGAGGTTTTGGGGGAATAAATCAAGGCAATAACAGCATACTAGATACTGCTAATGAAGCAGTCAAGGCAAAGAGGTCCTCAATTTTTTTCATGGACTTCCCAAGTTTTGCAACCCCCTGCCCGGCAGATGAACCATTCGGCTGGGAAATTTGCATTTGGTCTGTTGAAGAGCGGAGGTGCTTGGTATGAAGAAGGAAGGTTTTCTCCCGACCGCTTTGCTCACCCTGTCCACAAAAGCTCTCTTCAGGTAGCGAGGGGCCTTTTTGATGGCGCTCAGGAAGCCTTCATTTTTAGCCATCTCCTTGGCAATGTCTGCGGAGATGTTCCTGAAGACACGATTGGGGAGGCCCGGCAGCAATGTTCCAAGTTTGTGAAATGCCTCTGCCGTGTCCAACTGCAATTGGAAGAAGAAGTGGAAAACAGACATGATTACAGCCCTGATCTTATGACCCTCTTCTGAGACCTGAACTTTACGGTGCACTAACACAATTTGCGACTAATGTGCAATTAAAATCCATTGACCCCCAACCACAGCATCATCGCAAGAAGGTTTTTTCAAGCAAATGCTCTTGTGTTCTTAGGATGACAAACTCCTACCGTGAAGTTACTGCTGATCACTTTGTTCGCCAGCCCTTGGGCCTGTCCCCGGTTCCAGCCGTGGACTTGACCAAGTGCCTGCAAAGTCACAGGCTCTGCTACGTCCTCTGCTCTCAGCTTCGAAATCTGCCCAAGGGTCAAGCCCAAGGCTTGCTGTCCCAGTGCAATCAAGGTGTTGGCATTGAAGGAAGTAACCTGTGCAACCAGCATGGTTGCAAGCTAGATGGGAAGGGAGAGGAGGATAATGAATAATAATCGATGAATCATGAATGAGCTGCTAAGTCCACCAAAGTCTACACAGTACATGCTGCTGGGACAGAGCTTTGCTCAGTCGTATTGCACTTCCTTCACTGTTTTTCTTTTTATTTACTACTTATGTATGAATGGGTGTATTTGCACAACGGGGAAAAGTTGTTCTGGCCACTTTTGAGTGTTCTTTTTTTAATGAAGTCAAAGGAAATTTCCAAACAAAATGGCATTTCAAGCTGAAACAATCCAAGGATTCATCTGGAAGATGCAGGAATGAAACATGTGGAAATCTTTTAGGTTCCTTTTCCAAGTGACCAATTGGTGAAATCTAAATGAACTAAAATATAGATGCATAGAGTCACAGAAAATTCGGGTTTGCAGGCACTGCAGGAGGTCACATCCAGTCCAGCCCCCTGCTCCAAGCAGGACCAGCCCTAACTACATCATCCCAGACAGGGCTTTGTCTACCTGGGTCTTCAAAACCTCCAAGGATGGAGAGTCCACCACCTCTCTGGGTAGCCTGTTCAGTGCTTCACTGCCCTCCTAGTGAGAAGGTTTTTCCTAAGATCCAACCTAACCCTCCCTTGCTGCAACTGGAGCCCATTGCTCCTTGTCCTGCCATCTGTCCCCACTGAGACCAGTCCAGCTCCATCCTCCATCCTGCAGGGAGTTGAAGGCTGCTATTCAATCCCCCTTGGTCTTCTCTTCTGCAGACTAAATCAGCCCAGTTCCCTCAGCCTCTCCTCACCAGTCCTGTCCCTCAGCCCCCCAACCATAAGTCACGTGCCCCAACCCCAGAACATATCCTTGTATCACTGAGTCTGCAGTTTTGACCAAAAAAAGCTTGGGGAGAAAGACGTTACCGAGTTCTGCTTTATCCTGCTATGACCCAAAACTCCAGAAATGACAGGCAAAAAATCCCAAACTTCCTGAATCCAAATCTTCCCTGCAGCCCAGGATCTGGCTTCCCTCTCCCAGTGACACCAAACGGGGATGATCCTCTGTAGTCTGCGAATGGCCCAGTACCGTTCCTTGGCAGGGGCATCACACGGGGCGCTGAGCACTTACCTGGTGGTCGGATAGGGTGGGCTCTGCGGGCGCGGAGGTGTTTGAGGGACCGCAGTGGAGGTTTATCCTGGCAATGACACTGAGTGCGTCAGCGGAGCTGAGCCACTGGATGGCAGTCGAATGTCTTGCAAAGCAGAGCAGCAGGCCGGGCAGGCTGGGAGCAAACCCAGTGCAAGGTGTGTTAGCCAGGCACGTGTGCAACTGTGCGACTCTATCTGCTTTTCCCCATTTTCTAAAATTCTCCTATTTCTCAACAAAAACTCCAAGCGGACCATCTCAAGAGTTTACATATTTGCCTTTTTCACTTAATCCATTTTTTTTTAAACCTTCTAGCTCTATTTTTCCCCCTCTCCTCTGTTTCAGTGTCAAACCCGAGTAAGAGAGAAAATGGGTTGGGGAATAGCAGAAAAAAGCAATGTTTTGGTTTAAACTTATCCTTTGTTTTCTTGAATGCTGTCTGAAATATTTAACTGTCTTGTTTGTTTTTTATGAAGTATAATTATCACTAACCACTCACCTCTAATACATGAGATATGTGGATAGGATATTCGAGAGAGGTAAGTAAGTACACATAGATCTATTTGGCTATATTAGAGATATGTATTTCTACTTATGAGATATATAGAAGTGTATATCTATCCAGCTATCTATCTATCTATCTATCTATAGAGATATATAGATAATGTGTGATATATTTAGATGGGTAGATAGATAACATGTGATATCTATATTTAGACAGCTAGATTGGTAATGTGTGATAGATAACGTGTGATATATATATACTTAGATAGATAGATAATGTGCGATATATATATATTTAAATGGATAGACAACATGTGATATATATATTTAGATAGATAGATAGATAGCTAGATAGATAATGTGCGATATATATATTTAAATGGCTAGACAACATGTGATAGATAGATAGATAGATAGCTAGATAGATAGATAGATAGATAATGTGCAATATATATATTTAGATGGATAGATAACATGTGATAGATAGATAGATAGATAGCTAGATAGATAGCTAGATAGATAGCTAGATAGATAGCTAGATAGATAGCTAGATAGATAATGTGCAATATATATATTTAGATGGATAGATAACATGTGATAGATAGATAGACAGATAACGTGCGATATATATATTTAGATGGATAGATGAACAAAAGGTGCTCTTCTTAGTAGCGGATGAAGTACACGAAAGCAAACAAAACCTCAAATCAATCGCCTGCATGATTTCCATAGTCTGAGAGTTTAAATACATATTTCCTTCTTACTCGATGAGACTGAAGTTTGCGTTCTTGGCAAACAGCGAGGTAGCGTACAGCTCCGCCGTGTCCCTTGGGATTTGCGTGTGGTTGATGAGTCTCAGATTGTCTCTGTTTATGGCAAGATCCTGGAGCTGGAAAAAGAGAAGTATGCGATGTCCACTGCAGGATTTCTAGAGATATTGCTTCTGCTGACTTTGCTAAGCACTGTCGAGCTCAGGGACTCTAAGAGTAGGCTAGAAATTGCATTGAGTGTGCCTTGCAGTGGTAAATCTAGTACTGTTTAATACAAATCAGGTATTCAGGGGCAGGGGGGTCTGTCTGCCCAGAGTGGGAAATAAAGCCTGGTGGATTGTTGGCAGCAAATAGCTTGGTCTTTCTCTGCAAGAAAGTGAATCCATGGGTGAATTCAAGCAGATACAGATGTACCGCCAGGTACACACGTGAGTTTGATTGCACTGGGACTCACAAGAGCCCATGAGCAATAGAGGCTCCTTCAGCAGCTGCTCTGAGCCCCATTCACTCCTGACAAGGGACTGTGCAAGACCACCGGATACTCACCACGGTGTTGTCATTATTTGTGAATGATCGCACATCTTCTGCGCTGCTGTAACGGATGTAATGCCCAAGGTAAGCAGCAAACCAGTTTGCTGTCTTGGGGTTGCTGGCGTTGTAGCACCTGGGCCTGGCAGGAATCGCTACGTAATGAAGGACAGAAAATTATTGTAGACGAGCAATTGGGTATAACAGTTAGAGATGAATATCCACAGCTCCCTGCAATGCCTTAAGAGTCTTGCTATTAGAGATTAAAATCTCTTATAAGACTCTAGAGTGATTTCAGCATTGCAGACTCCACCCAAACCAGCTCTGATTCACCCCACGAATCTGATCTCTGCCCTTCAGCCCACACCAGGCGCAGATATGGATTCACATGCTAGCATCTCAACTCACGTCGCGCTGTTGGCCACTCTGATGTCCCAAATGGACAGAAGCTGTTCTCTATCGGCACCGCTGCACGCTGAGACTTACCGGTGAGATAGGCCTGGATGGCATGATACACATCTCGCTCGCTGACTTTCAAAGCAGTGCTGTTATGACTCAGTTTGTCCACGCTGCAAATTGGAAGAGAAACAGCGGGGTTGCAAGGATTAGTCTGAAATAGGTTTGCTGCTGAGCAATGGGGCAGTCTCCTCAGACAGAAAGGGAAAGCTAGGGGCTTTGCCTACTATTACAGGACCATTGGATGGGGACTCCTAAGCCATTCGTTCCCATTCCCAGTTGAAACCAGTTTTCATCGTGACCGTTCGCATAAGGATGGGAAATCCTCCCTGTGCCCCACTTTGCCGCACTTACATCTTGCGGAAGGCCGTGCACGTGGCTTGCAAGGTGACGCTGGAGCTCAGCAGGGGACTTTGGACAAAGCTGAAGTACGGCGGCAGGCGTGTGCCGAGCCAGGCATCCACCTCCGTCTCATGGTCACTCCTTACCACCGCAGGCCACACGCCTGCCAGAATGGCTGCTCCGGTGTCACTGGGGAGGGTCTCCTAGAAGAGAAGCAAAGGGACACAGTACTTTGCAGGTGACAGCCTCACACCCATGAAGCACGAGGAGGAGCTTTACTCTCTGCCATGCAGACCCAAGGGCTGATATCAACACCATCCCTTTTCTGGAGAGTCTGTGCTGTGCTGGCAGTGGGGTGGGAGAACTAATAATATAGGTCCTGTCCTTCTCTTGGTGGACTTCACCATCCAGCTAGATTCTCATATTGGCATTCAACTATAGCAACTAACCCTCTCCCAGATTCACAGTTATGCTGGTTGGAGGAAAAAGAAAAAAAAGGTATATTGGGATCAACTATTGCTTCAGCACAGCAGTCATAGAGGCAGAGTTTAGTCCTGAACTTAGAGGCAGTCCCGTGGTCCTTTTCAATTATGCATATATTTTTTTCTCCCTTTTTCTTTTTGTCCTTCTAACCTTTTCAAGCCCAATTAAATGTTGTGGGAAAAGTCCTACAAGATCCTAAAGACAAAACTTTTCCTTCATTTTGGTGCCTAATGCTCTTAGGGCAAATGTTCTTGCTGGGATCCTATGACCCCAGCTGACTTCCTGCCCCTGGGGCGGGGGGCTGGACTCGATGATCTTTCGAGGTCCTTCCAGCCCAAATGTCTATGACATCTATGAAATCCACGGGACTTTCTGAATCCTCTTGCTTGGGATGTGCTAGTTCACGTGACAAGCGGGGTGTTTCTCTAAAGTCCAATCCAACGTGGAGATTTGCTTGGCTTGTTGGACAGTAAGAAGCAAATGCTTGACCTACCACCATGCTCTTCTTGTTCAGCTGGTCAATAAAGTCCCCTTTCCTTTCATAGGTCTTCACGAGAGTGGTCAGGAAGGCGTTGTCGTTGAGGAACGCAGGGCTGGAGAACAGGTCGGCCAACGCGGCGGGAGCCATCGTGTTTGCAATCTGAAATGAAGACGTCAAGATGAGGGCGGGGAAGGCCGACAACTGTATCCCCAGGAACGTGATAGGAGCCATTCGTGTGATTATGAATGCGAGAGGAGCTGAGATGATTGCAGAGACGCCGGCCACAATCTGTGAACACTCGTGACCATCAGGGAGGTCCCAGATGATTGGAAAAGGGCAAATATAGTGCCACCTTTAAGAAAAGGGCTCTGTGGCCAAGGGACTCGCGGGGTGAGCCAGAGCCCAGAAAGTTGTGCATTCAAGCCTGGGTGTGTGGCTCTGAGCTTCCCAGCTGGAAATAGCAGCTCTTGTGGGTTTAACTTTCTCACTAGGAGGATGGTGAAGCACTGGAAGGGATTACCTAGAGAGGCGGTGCAATCTCTCTCCATCCTTGGAGGTGTTTAAGACCTGGCTAGACAAAGCCTTGGCTGGGATGATGTAGCCGGGGCTGGTCCTGCTTAGAGCAGGGGGTTGGACTGGATGCAACCTCTTGAGGTCCCTTCAACCTGAATTTCCTGTGATTAACAAGCTGCAGAGCTGTTCAGCTTCAAAATGGGCAAAGGGCAGGTCTTCAGCATTGCAAACTTCCCTCGTTTGCCCTCTGCTGATGTATTCCCAAATCTGAGCTGGAGTTGCCACTTCCAGTAATGAAATAAGCTCATACTCAGTAGCCAGGCAGCTCTCAGCAGCTCTGTCAAGACCATCAACACCGGAGCCAATTCATGTTCACTTTAGTGGTGGGTTTTGCAACAGAGATTAGACCTGTCCATGGGTGACTGGTGCCTCCCAAGTCTGGGGGGGCACCAGATCGCTGATGGGGAGCGGGGGGTTCGTGACTGGTGGTTCCAGGGGGTGCACGGCTGATCTCAGGGTGCACGTGCACCTGTGTGCACCCCCTAGACGTTGCCAATGGGCCTGTTGACTAAGAACTGGATTCAGAGCTATTGTTGTGGGGCCCAGCTCTGCAAAGCCTTAGTCACGGTGGGAAAGCCTCAATAATGCCCATGGGAACTACATGTGTGCGTAAAGGTTTCTCATTACAAGTCAGATTTTTCAGAACAAACCTCTTTGGGACAGCAGGCTGTGGAAAGAGCATCAGAAACATCTGACAGTAAAAAGAGGAGAGGTGTGTTTGGGGAGAAACTGTCTTACAGACACCACTGCGATGAGCCCTATAAGCACACAGGATAGATCGGAGGGACACAGAAATACCTCCGAAGCCCAGACACTGACTATGCAGAGGGGTCTCAAGTATTGCTCATGTGGGCTGTACGGACGCGTGGGCTGGCTGCCGCAAGACCATGCATGCGTTGTACCTTTTGGATGCCAGACACTGGAATGATGGATCTGAGATCTCTCAGATTCAGGAAAGCGCCAAAGCCCTGAAATGTCTCTCTCAAATACACAGCAAAGCTGGTGTCTGTGGTGTAGCACTGTAGTGAAGAGTCTGAAACAACCAGAGAGAAAAGGCAGTCAATTTAAAGTATAAATGCACGGGAGTGGGACTCTCGGGGGGTGGGGATGAGCCAAAGGACAACAGCAGTTGTACACCGTATCGCACACATCTCTGCACATGCACACGCAGGTATTAGGAAAGGTCAGTGTTTTGCAAAAGCAGCAGAAGCAGGCGGCCAAACTCGGCTGTGATCAGCGCATCTTACTTGCTGTCCGGTCCCGTATCTCCTGGTAAATGTTGTGTTGCGTGGGGTTGCTGAAGTCGGCGATGGAGTTATTAAGCACAGTCACCCTGTGACACAAGCACAGACACATCATTTAGCTCACAGAGCAGCTCTCTCCTGGGATTTCAGCTCCTTGCAGGTAGCACAGACATCTCTGTAATATTTTGGGCTTTCCAGAGACAGTTTTATCACTAAGAAGTGAGCACGTACGGGGGCGATTTATTAACTTGGTGTCCTTCTCGAGCTTTCCCCATAGCTGGGAGTCTTTGAATTGACCTCATTGTGCAGCATGTAGCAGCTTTGGGTCATCACCATAAGCAATAATAATCATGCAATGAACAGTGGAAGCTGCAGGATGCACTGATCCCATCATAGGAATAAGAGTCAGGGCATCTGCATCACTTAGGCCATATAGCTTCCTCTCTCTGCATCTGTCCCTCATCTGCAAAACAGGGATCACCATACTTCCCTGTCCATGTGAAATGCTTTGTAACCCTTTTAGGGAAGGCACCATTGGATAATACCGGTGTCTGGGACCCCCTGGTTGAGATGTTTCTGTCCATGTTGTTTTACAATGGGAAATGGGGCTTTTGAGGGGAAGCAACGTGTTTCAGGAAAAGTGTCTGGGTCTCCCTTGATGCAGGCTGGTGGCTCACCCAGGGGAGGGGACCAGAGAGCATCATGAGAAGAGTAGCTCAAGCATGGAGCCTGGCTTATAGAGGAGAACAGGGTCAGGCGGTGCCTGGACTCCAGGGACTCGACCACGGCTGTCCCTGGAAATGGTGTGGGTCTTAGTGGACCCATCTCAGAGTTAGATTTTTTTTCACTGAAAAAAGAAGGGAAATTCCAGCTGCAATTCATGACAGCACTCTTGTAAAGCAGCCCTAGGAAGAACAGGGAAGACAACAGCCCTTACACAGCCTTGATGGCAGTGCAGGCCCTAGCTTGCAGACCCTCGAAAAGCAGGGGGACGTGGGTTCGGTTCAGCCCTGCAATCAAGCCGGCGAGGCGAGGATTCATCCAGTGAATGAACTCTGTGTCGTTTGCTGCCCGCAGTATCGGCCTCGCTGCCACGAGGATGTGTTGCAACAGCACGGCTTTGGTCTCTGTCTCCAGGCTGCTGTTGGCCTGGAAGAAATGAAAGGAGAAGGGCAAGGGTATGGAAAATGATCCCAAGCACGGCAGCTGCCTGCTTCATATGGAGTGGGGCCTTTGCACAGCAAACCTGCACCAGTTGTTTTTTTTTCTCTTGTTTTTTTTTCTATCTTCGTGCCCTCACCCCTGCTTTGAAAAATAAAAGCTCTCCCAAACTCTCCCAGCTCCACTATCCAAACCCAGCCTTCATTTCCCCTTCCTACGCCTGCATGTACCTTCTGGAGAGGGAGGGAAGTTGTTACCAAGGATGGACATAAGGAGCAGGTACTGTGCAGCACCTCCAGGCCTGTTTAAGGAGAGCACTGATCATCTCAGAGCCATGAATCCTGCAACAGGTTTTGCCCCCAAATTTCAACTGACGTCAGCAGTAGGTCCTCAAATGGCGCCAGAGCAGAGCATAGCCCGGGACGCTGGAAGGAGTATGGGGATGGCTCTCACCAGGTTGACTTGTCTGTTCAATTCATCAATATATTCGGCAACGGTTGAGCCGGTGACAAAAGCCAGGAGTCTCTGGAGATCTTCGGTTGCCTCCACGGTCCCATTGGCGACTGTTAGCTGTGCCAGTTGCTTCACGGTCAAGCTGTGGAGCACATCAAACTAAGAAAGAGAAAGAGCAAAAGGAAGTTAGGAATGAAACATCTGCTTTGGAGAGCAGGGAAACCAGAGGCAGCTATCCTCATGATCCATGGTTTCATAGGAGTTAGGGGCTGGAAGGGACCTTACGGATCATCGGGTCCAGCCCCCCTGCACTTGGGCAGGAAAGTAAAACTTGAGCCCAGCAAGATGGGCGTCAAGACATTTTTTGAAGATCGTCAGGGTGGATGATCCAAGGAAGAGCATGGGTGGCTTCACTTTTTGGAAAACAGCCCAGGTTGGAGAGGGTTGGGATTGGATTGATTTCCATCGGAGGGACTCCGGATCACAAGACCGATGACTTGAGACCACAAAGAGCTCAACAGCGTATACAGCAGTTCACCCTCCTGCCCTGTCCACTGGGTCCTTAATTTTGATATGCTCCAGCTCTTGGTCAGAAGACCCCTTCCAGTGCATCTCATTCTCCACGGCAGCCAAGCAAGCCTGAAACCACCAGCCAAGAGGCCAGCTGAGGCTGATGATGACAGCAGACTTTGAAACCACTACAACCCGTCCCAGCCTGATGCTAGTAGCTCATTTAGAACAGCCATAAAACTTGTTTCATTGGAAAATAAGCCAACCAGCCTTAAAACCATGAACCAGGCATGACCCAACCAGCCATAAAGCTTGTTTCATTGGAAAATTCCCAACCAGCCTTAAAACCATGAACCAGGCATGACCCAACCAGCCATAAAACTTGTTTCATTGGAAAATGAGCCAACCAGGCATAAAACCATGAACCAGGCATGACCCAACCAGCCATAAAACTTGTTTCACTGGAAAATGAGCCAACCAGGCATAAAACCATGAACCAGGCATGAACCTACCAGCCATAAAACTTGTTTCACTGGAAAATGAGCCAACCAGGCATAAAACCATGAACCAGGCATGAACCAACCAGCCATAAAACTTGTCTCATTGGAAAATTCCCAACCAGCTGTGCTCTGGGACAGCCTGCTTAGTGCGCATGGCTCCCTGGACTGGAGTCCAAGGCCGGACTGATCTTGTAAATTCAAAATTGTTCCAGCGTAACTGAGATCTGAGTGTGCCCCATGGTCTCTGAGCTGGATTATTAGCTTGCTGGACTGGAGCTCATTCAGAACAGGGTCCCACCCCCGAACTATGACCCTGCACTGCTGTAGGTGTGGAAGTGGCTGTAGGTGCTACGTACCCCACTGAACGCAGCGTTCAGAGAGAGCAGGTCTGTGTACACGGCATATCGGCTGAACCTCCTCAAGTTGACAGAGAGCCAGGCAGAGGTGTTGGTGAGGCCATCGACACACGCAGACCCTGCAAGGAACAAGGAGCAGCAATGGGGGCATCTCCAATGAAGGCCGGACAAATAAGACACCACTAGGCACTGCAAAGATGCACAGCATCTGCAGGGAGTCTTTTCTGTGATATCTAGCTCGGCCTCCGCCTGCTTGCCGCGATGCCTGAAAGCTTGTCCAACAGCTCTCCCAATTATATGGGTGGTTAAATAAGACCCCACAAGACAGCCTTGCCTCATAAGATTTAACAGGCCATGAGCTACAAGAAAGAGATGGCAAAGTACCACCCCAACCCCTCAGTAAAATGTCAGCAGGGGTCTCGGAGGTCTGGATCGTTGTGTAAGTGCAGCGGTTTCTGGGTGGCCGATGCACTCGCAAGTACCTTTGCGCGTGAGTTGTCTGCAAAGATTTTCACGTATTGGAGCAAAGTTGCCGTTCGGATCTGGTAGGAGCCAAAGGGGTGCTAGGTTTGCCTCTTACCTTCAGCTTTTAACCCTTTCAGGAAAGAGAGCTGGAAACTTCTATAGACGGTCTCTTGGGTAGTGTGGCTCATCTCCTTAAATTCTAGGTCCAGGGCTTTAACTCTTAAAAGGCAACAAGACACGAGCATGAGAGAGAGCAAGCAGATAGGCTATCACAGGCAATCTGTCTGATTCCCTTTAGAGAAGAGGTTACCAAATGCACTCACCTGACCATGAATGTTGGCGGATAGGTCCTGCTCTTGAGTACCATGCCCTCACACCTCCGCCGTGTCTCTCACTCCATCTTTCCCTAGCTCACTCACTCTCTCGTTATTGCATTCATGAATCCCCCATTTGTCTTTCCCATCCTCTCATCAGAGAAGCTGACGTTATGAATGCCAAGACACCAGTCACGTGTGTATAGTGACCCATGATTGTATGTAGCAGCCCGTTCATCCAATGCACCTATCGCCCAGGTAGAAGATGTCACACAGACCTGCCACCGCCTCAAGCTACTTCCCTCCGTTTCCCTCTGCAATTATTGGCAGTGGAGCACACTTGTGAGGTCAGGCCCTTGCAATACCACGTGCATCCAGCCCCGGTCTCCTGCATACTCCACCCTGCGCTCCCCGAGAGGAAAGATTAGTGATGTTAATGCTTCCACTAGGTGAAACCCTGACACGTACATTGCCTGATACTGTGCACATCTCATGGTCTCGTTGTGAAGGCACTGGAGGATGTCGGCAGAAATGGCAGATAAAAAGGGCCGTAGCCTCTTCTGGAACCACGGCCCCACAAACTCTGTCTCGTTGAAACGCTCTTCGTTCCTCAGCTTCCCGTCCCATAAAGCCTCCAGCAGAATGCCCTTCTGCTTTGCTGGGATGAGGGAGGCATTAACCTGCAACATAAACACGTGCCTTTTGACCGGGTGTAACCATCCAGGGATCCCCAAGGGCTTTACAAACATTACTTCAATCATGACAGTTCCCAGTTAGAAATGTTCAAGCCCTTTATCATAAGATTAATTGCTTTGTGCACTCAGCTAAGCGTTTGCAAAACTGCATTATGGTGAACTGACGTTGGCCAACGTATCCGTGAAACTATTCATAAATGAATATTGCATTTTTCTAGTCCATTCACAAGCAACCTCACACTGCAAGACTGGAGATGGCTATTGCCTCCTTTTAATAAGTGAGGAAAATGGGGCAAAGAGAGAGATGGTGTTTTGCCCGTGGTCAACGAGCAAGGCCGAGGGGAACCCAGGAGTCCTGGCGAGCAACCTGCGTGCTTAGTGGAGGGACCTGAACCCTGTGATAGTGGTGGCTGCTGCCTTTTTACTGCTGATATAGCAAGATTTTGGTGCTTTGCAATCCCAGCTGAGAGTAAGACTATAAAGCAAAGTCCCCGGAGGAGAATAATTAATGTGAGACAATAAAACACCTCAATGGACAGAAGAAGAAAGTAACAGGCTGCTTGAAAGAGCTGGAGTGAAATATGGACTTTAAATCCCTCGAGGCTGTCTTCAGGGAAGGAAAATACACTTTTACCTTGCCAAGAAACCCGTCCAAGGCTGCCTCCAGCTCTGTGGTGTTTGCTTCACTGACAAACACCTTCAGAGCTTGGGGCTGAAGGTCTTCCTTGCTCTTCAACAGGAGCTCAAAGGCGCCGTGGAGGGAGGAACGGTTCCACCTCGACACGTTTTGTAGCTGGAAAAGAAACCAAGCCCCCATCTAAGAGAAATGAAACTCGCTCAAATCCTGTGTTTCCTTCTCATAATTCCCGTGTGATTTCTGCAAATGGGATAACGCCCCTGCTAGGGCTACGGGAGGTACGGGAGATGGCTGCGTTGCAGGGAAAATAAGGTTGAACGGAAGAGAGAGGACGTGCCGGGTGCTGCTCCGCCGTACTTACATTATCGCAGACCAAGCGAGTGAAATTGGAGGACCCTTCATCATCCTCACTGTGAAGACAGAGAGAGAACGACATGGATGTACGGGCCCATGGCAAACCCTAATGCCATGTCTTTAGCACCAAGTTCATTAGCTGTTGCTTTTCATCACAGAAGAGAGTCCAGCTCCCCTGACGTTAATAGCCAAAAAAGCAGTGCATGAAGGCCGTTAGGATATGCATCTGCTAAATAACCCACCCTGCAAACTCCTAAAAAGCCCATAGTTAGCAGAGCTGGGCAGTGGATGCAAAGTGTGCGCAGCATCTCTTGAGGTCTGTGGTTGTATCTGTTGTCCAGGGCAGGGCTGAACTGTGTGAGCAGTGCAGTATATATTACAGTGGCAGGAGAAGGCTTGACCTTGTCTCACTGCCTCTACACCCCTGCCCCTGGGTGTGAGAGTTACGCTCATTTTACACACTTATTGGCAGTCAAAGTTACCCTACGCTGCCACTCACATCCATGCTCTGCTCAACTAACAGCCAGGGGGTAACTTACCCCTCCACTTACGTTACCGCTGTAAATAGCCCAGGGACTTTCATGGGATCAGTGCTTACTTCCTCCAGTCTCATTTTGGGGTCATCCCAAAGGTGGACCTTGAACTTGGGCACTGCTGGGACGTGCTCACGTAATCTGTTTTTACAGATGGGTGCCTCACCAATGACGAGGTCAATTGACCTTATATTGCAGTGGCAGTTTTGGGGAGGGCAAACTGGGAGACCGCCCAGGGCCCCCCACTTTTGGGGGCCCCAAAATTTTGCAACAAATATCCGACTTGCTTATAGGTCATCAAAATTAAGCCTCTAAGGGGCCCCAAATGTCTCTCTTGCCCAGGGCCCCAACAACCCTAAGGCCACCACTGCTTATATTGTCTACTGTTCGCATATTTTTGGCATTATAATCATTATAACCATTATCATGGTTATAATGCCGCATATGGATTGCATATTTTTTTTGACCAAAGGTTATACCAATTTTGCCAAAAAAACCCCAAACCTAAAAAAACCCCTACATTTTAAAATAGTTTTATTCACAGAAATATATATTTTTTATTGTTTTTGATACATCTTTTAACAGAAAACGTGTGCTTTTTCTATGTATTCTTTGGACCTATTGACAATTTTTTGTTACAATTTTTGACCAATGTTAGACCAGTCAGTTGATCAAACTTTATTTGAGCGATCAGATACCCAGCCCTACCAATGACCTTGTATTCTGCCTGGCCCTGAGAAGATCATCTCTGCTCTGTAGCTCCCCAGTAGTGCAACCACCACATCACAGGCATCAAGTGAGTACAGAGTAAAAACCTTTAAGATATGGCTTGATCATGGGCTTTTCTATGACTCCAGGAGATGGCCCCCTCTCATCTCCCATTAAATGGACTCAGAACTTGCTCTGTGCATGCATGCAACACCCAAAGTACGCTTTAAAAGGGATCCAGTTAATTTCTGCAAATACCTGGAAATGTTCTTGCAAAGTTCTGTGGCTGATAAAAAGAAAAGATGAAGAAAAAGCAAAATCAGCCGTGTTTCCTACATCCAGCTTATCCAACACTAGTCCCATAGAGCACATATTGCAGTCACTTACCATTTATCTGAAGGCCGGGACACTGTGGGGATGGGAGGAAAAAAAAGGAAGGCACACAATTAAATGCAGTTTTTCCATCGATGACCTGAGATAGCTGCCTTGCTTCTGTAGCATTATCATGGTTATAATGCCATATCTCAATAAAATACAGTATCTCATAGACTCTCTTGTCTCTTTTGAGACCCACAGACTATGGGCTGGATGCTCCGGTCTGTTAAAACCCCTCGAGGGGTGCACAGAGGGTTATAAATCCGGTGCAAGGAACCAGGTTCCTGACGGTTCCCAACATAGGCAGGCACTGGCATATTATAATCTACAGGTGCAGCGGGCAGCTAACAGGGATTGGCAGCAGCCCTGTGGCTGTTTTAAGCCAAAATAATTGAGATGCTGAGAAGCAGCCATGCAGTCCCCTTCGCCACCCTCGTTGGGTGCTCGGGGGCGGGAGGTTTGGCCAGACCCCAGGATCGGGGCCTCTATATTTAGAAGGACTTTCCTTTCCTGCTG